GGCTCGCTGCTAATGCCTGTTACAACATGGATGACACAGAAGCAGCAGCCAGCCCCAGAGCCATGTCAGGCACAAGTTCATTGCTAAGAAATCCAGAGAGTCAGACAACCAAGTCATCGGGAGGTCAGGTGGTGATGGGTCAGGGAGCCTGCTCAGGGAGATGACCTTCCTTTGGGTGAGATGGAAACATTCTGAAGTAGATTATGGTGATGGCTGCCTGACTAAAAACCACTCAGTGCCTCACTGGAAGGGAGGTGAACTGCATGGTAGGTGAATTATAATGAAGATGTTACCAAAAAACCCTCAGCTCTCCAACGCATTTTATCTGAACAGTCATGCCTAACGTTGTAGGTCTGTACCTGTAGGTTCATCTCTTCCATTTCAGGGAAAGGCCTAGCAATTGTGGGGGTGATCCAGGACTAGCTTCTCTCTCTCATTTTGAACATTTATTTTACTTATTTGAAAGGCAGAGTTGCAGAGAGAGAGAATAAGAGAGATCCATTCCACTGGTTCACTTCCTAAATGATCACAATGGCCAGGGCTGGGCCAGGAGCTTCTTACCAGTGGCTGCAGGGGTCCAAGTGCTGGGCCATCTTCCGTTGCTTTCTCAGGGGCATTAGCAGGGAATTGGATGAGGTAAAACCAGGACTCAACCGGTACCCATATGGGATGACAGTGCCACAAGCAGTAACTTAACTCACTACTCCACAGCGCAGGCCCTACTACTTAAAAAGAATCAGAAGCACTTCAGCCACCTGGAACCAGAGGATCCTGGGAGGCGCTCCACAGAGGAGGAGACAGGGGTCCGAGCTATGGCAACAAATTTACCGTGTGGGCAGTTGAGCGCCTGAGCCCTTGAGAGAGAGAGTATGTGTGTGTGTGTGTGTGTATGAGAGAGAGCAAGAGAGAGTGAGAGAGAGAGCATGTTCTAGAATAGATACAAGACTATTCCAAGATTCATTCATCTATCCCTTTGGAGGCAAGCATCATGTCCTACCTATGGGGGTATAACTGGTCCTCCTTGCAGGGAGTCCCCTACCTCCCCCGGAAGCATCTCCCAGCATACTAGAGATTCAGTTCTAAACTATCATCCCACGGCACTGGGAGAAGCACAGGTACAGGGCTGCCTTCGTCCCAGAGCACTTAGAGAATTAAGCAAAGAAAGGCACAGGCACTTGGTCATGCAGCTCAATCCCAGAGAGGGTCTCTGGAGACTTGGGAAGCTGGGATCCCATAAAGGACATTGCATTGGGTTGAGTCACTTCCTGATGTCACCCTGGAGAGAGGGAGGGAGATCTTCCTGGGAGAGGACCCAGGTCCAGGAACCCATTCAAACCACATTTATTTTACTGGCATCCTCTCCTCCTAGCTGATTCCCATATCCACACAGAGGAAAAAAAGAAGGAAAATAAATGAAACAGGGCTACCTGCGACAGGTGGCAGGCTCTGCTGAAAAACTGGCACGTGCGGGGTAGGGAGCTGGGTGGCCATCTCAAACTTGGGGCCTCCTGCCTGCCTGCTTGCACAGCCGCAGGCACACAGGCAGGCAAGCAGGCAACCCCACTGGCATCTGTGTCCCAAGATGGACACATGTGACCTGCTTTGTGAATTTGCTTGCACTGGGGATTTGTTTTGAGTTTGGCATCTCACCTTTGTCCTTTCACAGGGTGTGACCAGCAGGGATCAAAGGTGAAAAATTCAGACATAAATAGGGAACAAAAGGGTGCCATTCTGGAAGTTTCCAGCCAGCGGCAGTGAGTGACCTTCTTTATACCATGGAATAAACATGGATGAAGATATATCCTGGCTGGGTAATATTATCACTGGCGCTCCCCACCCCCCTGCCCCGAAATTTATCCAAGAACACAGATGCTCACTAAACAGCAACAAGAATGTCCATGGCAGTAGTCCCTCTGTTATCCCCACCTGGGCATTGCCTAGACGCCCATCAGTAGGAAAACACAGAGATAAAGCAAGGAGCACCCAAAAGTACCCAGTCACTAAGCTGCTGCCAGGCATGGCTGCTGGTGAATCTCAAAGGCAAACCTATGTGAAAGCACTGGGCAAAGACAAAAGGCAGCAAGTGACACCCTAAGGTGCCACTTACAGGAGGTACGGAACAGCAGCAGCTTGCCAATGGTGATGGGCTGGCACAGAAGGGAGCCCTCCCAGGGGTCCAAGATGAGCTACATCGGGATCACAGCAATATTCCTGGAATGGAGCACTTGTAGCAGGTACACTGGAGGCAAGTCAGCTCCACTTGGGGTATGGTGTAACTTGAGCAGCAGAAAAACCTGCTAAGTGCCCGTAGAGCTGCTCAACTTGACAGGTGCCCCACTGCTGCCTCAGAGCCTGCCTCCCTTCTGGGACATACAGTAATGCACAACAACCCCTGGCTCTGGGGCCTGTGGCCCAGCCTCATGTCGCCTGCCTCTGGGAGATGGAGGGGAGCCCTGAGGCAGACAGGATCCCAAGGAGAGGGCCTCAGAGGTCGGAGGGAGGAGTGCAGGGCAGCAAACAGAACCAGCCTGTGACCCACTGAGCTAGCCGGAGACCTGCAAAACAGCTCTGTACCCCAGCAGCAGGCAGACACATGCGGCCTGGCTTCACGGGTTTGGGGACTGGCATGCTGCCCATGGCCAGAGAATGTGCTGAGCCGTGCTGGGCCTGTGCCTATAGCACGCCCCACATGTACTAGGGGTCAAGGCCCTTTTACAGAGGCCCTTTGACAACTTGGCTCCACTAACCCTGCAGTTCCTCTAACCTGGGACTGAGTTGGTAAGGAGGAAGGGTTTGTCCAGAATCACCACTCCCCGGGCTGTGCCTGCCTCTATGTGTGCATGGTAGAGGGAAGGGCATTTTTGCACACAGTCAGCCTCTCTCATGCGCTGGGTTCTTTCTACCAAAACCTGACACATCTGCCACTTGTCACTGCTGAGCACCCACCTTCCATGCCATTCCTTCAGGACCACCTCTACCCTCCCCAACATCTGCTGCCACTCTTCCTAGGCCACAGTGATATCACTGTCCACCTTTGCCCCTCACTCCAAGGCCCAGGGGAAGGGGTACTGTGGCTGCTTAATTAGCTCTTCATCCTACAAGGAAGCACCAAGCCTGGCACACAGTAGTGCCACAATCAAGCCCTACTGAACGCACACACGCTTTAAGCAAACACAAGCATCTTCACTCTGAAGAGCACAAGCTGAAAACAAATGTGTGAAGAACAGCCTGGGAGCTGCACCTGCTTCCAGGAGCAGGCAGAGGCTCTGGGTGGCACTACAAGGTGGGCTTCCTGCATTTTACCAAAGTACCACAATCTGTGGTCATTCACAGCTGCCCTGGAAATGTGGTTTAAGAGCAATTTCACCCTCTGAAATGCAGGAAGCACTGACCGCAGGGCCAGCATCGCAAAATGAGAAACGATCCCCTTGGGGACACGGAATGAGTAGGGCAGGATGTGTGTGCTGACTTGGCAAGCCTTCTAGCACTCTTTCCAAGCAGGAACAACCTCTCGTCCCTCCCCCCGCCTCTCACACACACACACACACACACACACACACACACACACGGAAGCACACACCAGCAGAGGTCAATGCTATCAGCCGACACGGCACATCTCCAGACCCTGGCATTAGTCATAATCACACCTTCTTACTCTCTCAGTTTCCCAGGACCATTCACTCCAACAATCGCTTCCACGCTTTGCCTACTCTCAGCTTTGCAATCCTGGTGCTGACTTCCAAGGGTGGTGTGGGCAACTCAGGGAGGACCAGGTCAGGAGGTCAAGCCTCAGCCCCCACTTCCTGTCTAAAACCCAGGAGGGCCTCCCTGGCCACAATCGGCCACCTCAGTCACTTGGTGTATAAGGCAGGGGAGCACACGGAGCATGATTGGTGACAATCCTTCCGTTGCTAACGTTGGCACCAGAAGCCTGGTCAGTTATAGAATGCCCGTATCATGTGTTTAACAAACGGGTCAGAGTGGGAAGGGGGCACTGTGTGCCTGCAGCTTTGCTTCTTGTGTCATATACTGGAGGATACATGTGGAAGTGAAGAGCCTCATTGGCCATTCCTTCTGTTGTAAGGTAACATGAAAGACTGACCTCTGAACCTTGAACTCAACCGCCAAAGGACCTAGACTGAAAGCATTGGGCAGTGGCTGAGCTCTGCCTCATGTTTCTCCCACTAACAGCTATGACTACCACGGCAGGCCCTGGGTGACCTGTGGGTTGGTCCCAACACTGGTGTCTGCTAGAGCATAGGAAGGGACACAGAGTTGCCACAGTGTGTGGCCTGCCCTACCGGTGTGCCTTCAGCCTGCACACTGTAGGCTGGGCGGGGAGAGTGGACGAGTGTCCCTCCTCCCCATCTCCCCTCCTTGCACAGCAGCCGGCCAGGGCCCTGGCGTCCCTGAGTGCACAGGGCTGTCTGCTGAAGCAGAAGGACAACAGCGGTCAGCTGACAGCAGAGTCCAGTGTTACACACAGAGGAAAAACAGGAAGCGTCTGTGCGACTAAAACAGCAAGGAAAGGTTTTTGCATTTAACACCCTCGGCGTCCTACTTTCACTTTCCCAGGAGATCATTCTGTCAGCTCCAGCCTGGAGCCCACATGGGCTCAGAGCACAAGGGGGGCCTCCAGTCAGCACAAAGCTCTGAAGAGAGTTGGACTTGAACCCTAGGGACGAGCCTAGCCTGAGGCTCCTGCCCTTGAGTATGTAAGCTTATCACAGCCCCCTGTGTGAGGGTTCCTGATCTGAGACAGTGGCCACCTGTCTGTTCTCCAGCCAGGTGACTAGAACCCTGGGAACCAAGCAGGTAATGATGCTTCCACAAATAGCCATGCTGGGGGAACTCTGCCAGAAGGTTTCCTTAGGTGGAGCATCTCCGAACAAACTCCAGCCCTCTCCTCCCCACGCCATCAACGTGAGCAACCCACCTCCGAGCAACTCCAGCGTGGCCAGGGTGTGGACCAAACCAGCCACCCACCCACTGCCACTTACCATGTATGAAGGAAAGATGAGAACTCGCTTGTGCTTGCCACAAGGCCACTGGGGGTCATCCAAGAGATTCGGGTCATAGTCCGTAAAGTCTCCTAGGTCACTACCTGAAGATCATAGGCACAGTGATAGTTAGGGGCCCAGGCCCTGCAGAGGGCAGCATCTGGGAGCAGGCATGGGGAGATTCCAGACGGGCATTCACAGGGCTGGCTCGGACTTCAAGCAGAGTTCTCTACATGCCACTGAGGGGCAGTAGCCCCCAGCAACAGGGTCTCAGACATTGTACTGTCTGTTTTGGAAAATGGTGAGTGCACCTCCCTGATGCAGAGCACGCAAGAGGCAGAGTGCGCTTGTGGACATAGGAGGTGATGGCCTGCAAACGCTCACCTGCTGAACCTGCACACCAGCTTGGCTGTCCGAGCAGCACAGCTTGGTGCCAAGGTTCCCGGGCTGGATCTTCTATCTGCCTGAGCACCAACTAGGGCAGCCAAAGGACCCAGGGCTGTCCTTGACCACAGGCAGTTAAACTTGGGGAAATGACCTTGCCCCACAGCTTTCTTGTGCCAAATGCCTACAAAGGTTTATACAGAGGCACCCCTAGAGGGTACTCCCAAGTGTTCTCTCAGTGGCTGGCTTGGCTCACCCACGATGCTATTCACAAAGGAAATGCTTGGATCTGTCCCTGCCCTTCAGGACCCAATTTGCAAAAAAGAACAGCAGGAAAAGGAAAAGGCTAAACCTGATTCTTCCCATGTGGGGCACAGTGAACAGAGCGGGAGGAGTGGTTGAGCAGAGGCGGGAAGTCCAGCCACCTCTGCATGGTGCAGATGGCCTGGGGCCTCTCTCCAGGGGGTCACCCAGGGCCTCTAGTTAGGGGTCAGTCACCTGGGGCCCAGAAGAGCCTCCACAGCCTAAGACCTGGCTCTGCGAGCACCTGTCCCCATTCTGAACATAAGGAGACACTCCATACAACAAACTCCAGTGCTTCCCACCATGAAGTACCCAGACCAGCCGGGGGACAGAGGTTACCTGTGTCCAGGCTCCCTTGGGTGCTGCTTGCCCGGCCCAGGGAGAGGCTACGGTGGCTCAGGTTACGGAACTGGGAGAAGGAAGAGGCGGAATCTATGGTATTTCTCCGGACTCCGAAGGCATTTGTGGGTAACAGAAATTGGGTGTAAGAAACGGTCTAAAAGGTGGAGATAAAACAAAACAAAAACAAACAAACAGACAAAAAGCCAAACAGGCCAGGGATTATTTCCAAGCAATGGCAGCTTTGCATTCTAAGCCACGCTGCCACCCCAAATCAAGACCAGGTCCAGTTTTTTTCCATGCTAAATACAAGATGTGAAAAGTGAAATGTGTCGTGACACACCACATCAGATTTGTGTCCCAAGCTAACCTGATTTGATCTGAGGCTGAGACGATTTTCATCGGTCCCTCATGGAGCAACTACTTCTGCAAGGCAGCAGAAACACCCTGTGATTGCTACCAGGTGCTCTCTCGGGCCTGTGGGGGCGTTGTGTGACACATGGATGCTGCGGCACTGTTTCTTTATAATCTGCCAAGTGCAGGACTCCTGAACATATCAGGCCCTGGAGTCTGTAATCAGGGCTGGCACCTCCCCCATGTTTGTTCCTCTGGCAGTGGCTGCAGAGGATGTTCAATTCTGTTCTGGCCTCGCATGTCTCACCCCTCAGGAATGAAGATAAAACACCTTCACACCTGTCCAGGGGAGTGCCTTGAATGCCTTCGCCACACCTTAAGCTCAGAGATGGCCTCACTCAGACACAGGATGTCACAGAGACACAGGATGAGGGACTGGCTGGCTGCTCTGGGGGTGGGAGCAAGGAAAGTCATTTGCCATCCCAGCAGCCTCACTCGCAAGCCAAGGATGCTAGGAAATGCTTTCATCTTTGCCAGAAATGGGCCTGGAGAGAGTGTAGGAGCACTGCCTAGAACCAGCAAAGGTCAAGTTCATCTTTCAATCCTGCACTTCTCAGACACCAGTCCAACAGCTCATAGCACTGGAGAGGAGAGATGAATGGGACAGTCCTATTGCTTGGGGGTCACTGTGTAGGGCTGAGGGACTTCCTGGCTTCCCAGAACTCTGGGAAGCTGAAACACTTGCTGTTGGCCAGAACTATGCTTGCTAACACCATCAGCTGATGGAAGTTCGACCCCAGCACCCCTCCTGGAATGTGGGTGGATGCACGTGTGTGACTCCTAAGCATTGTACAATCAGTTGGTAAGCAGCACTAGCAAAGTAATATTAGTTGTATTTCTGTGTACCTTGGGATTGCGCCCCCTCCACCACCTTGCTGTTCTAGGGGAGGTCAGCCTACATGCAGGGGAAGCTGGGGCAGACACCGCCCTTCATCTGGGTATCTGTTCCTGACCTTGCCCCTTGGTCAAGGCTCACATTGCCTCCTCCTGCTGCCCTCTATGGTACTAGCACAGACCCAGAGGCCAGAAGCCAGGCAGCCTTCTTACCTTCCCATCGGCACCCAGCTCCACACCTTCGAGACCAATGATCTCTTTCAAACTCATGGCACCTGCTGATGGCTTCCCTCCATCCAGCTTCAAGTCCCTGGGGGGAGGACAGGCCAAAGAAAAAGGCATTTGCAGGCACCTGCACGAGACATGATGTTCATGCCCCAAGACACAGCACTCACATGGATGGAGATGGTTACTATGGGAACAGCAGGACTTGCTCCCACAAAACTCACACAGCTGCTTTCATGTTTGTGATTGATGGGTTACAAGTGGAGACAAGCTAAGTAAGCATGGCCATCTGGGAAAGGTGTTTATTTTGGTGTTTAGGGGTATGTCCTTGGAGGATGACTCTCAAGGGAGTTACTGCATAAGTTCAAGTTCACCCTGCGCTTACTCTCTGCTCCCTTGCTCACCATGATTGCCCATCCATAGCCCCCACAGCTAGCCACCACTAGATGCCAGACCCTGGGGCCTTATGATCCTTAACTGTATCCTCCAAACTGTAAGTGGAAATGCACCCTCTCCTTCCCAGGAAGCCCCTCGCATCCCCCAGGTGGGGAGTACGGTGGGTCATTCTGGCCTTGTCTCAGAGCTCAGTAAGGATGCTCTGGGTGTTTCTCCGTTCAGTCTAGACAGACCGACACTGAACCCTGATGGACCACGCCAGGCCTGGGAGCATCCCTTCCTCTCCAGCTAGGCCCTTGAACTCCAGCCCGCTGGTTTCTTCCGAAAGCTGGGAGGGACCATCTCTCCTCACTGTTCCTAAACAGCCTCTAGGTTTACCACTGGTGACAAGGTAAATCCCAGCATGAACCCTATGGCAGCCATCCCAGCTGCCTGGCCAGGTGACCTGGCTAGTGTTTTCCTAACAGCATCAGCTCAAGTGGTGACAAGCAGCACGTGCAGTTCCCAAAGACCTTCACACGTGGTGTGAAGAGGACCCTGTGAGACGGGTGACACTGCTGTTGCTTTGTCTTGCAGAGAAGTAAACAGAGGCCCAGCTAAAAGTCCCTGGGGACAGAGGCTGCAGGGAGCGGCTTGTGCATCCAGGGCTCTGTTGAGCACAGTCCATCACCTTGGTGCTATGACCATGCTCGTGGGTCCCTGGCCAAGTTTCAAAGGATAACTTTCCTTCCTTGCAGCAAGAGGTCTCGGCTTTAGCTGCCCCTTGGCATCACCAGAGGTGGTGGCAGGGTGGAGAAGGGTGTGCACACTGCCCGGCTCCCTAGCCAGACATGTTGATCTGGCCAAGCATGGGATTTGGAATCACAGGATTTGGACTTGCAGCCACTCTGGGGAGGGGATGGTCTTCAGCTCCTGTCTCTGTGTCAGCCACGGTACTTGTCAGTCAAAGCCACCCTTTGGCGTGGAGTTCTCTCCAACAACCAAGGCAAGAACAGAACAGATCTAAATGCATCACACAAAGTCATCAGGGAAGGAAAGAGAGGGAAAGAGAGTGAGTGAGTGCAGGGATGGGAGGAAGGCAGGCTGCCCCTAGATGTGGAAGAAATCCTGGCTCCCTGTCTGTGTCATGCACGGCCCTAGTGCCTGGGCCTTCTGTGGAGAAACTGGCTCCCCGATCCTAGAGTCTGAGGAGGACCCCTGCATTGGAAAGTGCTGCACTGCGCACATCATCTCCTTGGGCAGCTGCACCATCACCAGCCTCAAAACATCTCTGGTGCCCCTTTGAGAAGCAGCCAATCAGGCAAAGGAAAAGCTGGCCACTAAGCCTCCTTGGCTTCCAAGTTTGTATTTACAGGTTGTTGGACCCTCAATAAGGTTAGTGAGTGCTTGTCTTGTCCCCTACACATACCCTCTTCAGTGGCTGGGTTCCAAATGACTCTTAAATCATACTCACTCCTTCAGGACCACACAGACCAGTAAGGCCAGAATTGTAAGTGTATGGCTGAAGGTGTAAGCCTCCAAAACCAAGATTTAGAGAGGTGTTTTATGGGGACTGTGTTCTCTATATCATCACAGGACCCAGGCCAGCTGCTGCAAAGACCCAGCAGACCAGGGTTACACAGGGTCACAGGCCACCTGCTCCAGTGTCCCGTCACTCAGTCTGCTACAGCAGCAACCTGGGTCTACTCTCAAAAGATGTCCTGAGGCCACTAAGGATGCAGACATCAGGGCACTCCTAAGGGAAAGTGCTTACAGAACAAAAACTTGCACAGGGCAAGGAGGTGGGAATACTCCTCATGGGTAAAAAAAAAATTAGCACAGGAGGTAAAGACAGGCAGGGTGGGAGGTGAGCTGGGATGACCCCTGGTGTCACTGAAGGATCCACAGGGCAGCTCATAGCTCTCCTCCTGTCCCAAAGCCCACCCCAGCATGCATGGTCTCAGATCCTTGATTCCTTGGTTTCATTTTCCCAGACAGAGCGCATTGTTGAGGGCTGAAATCACCAGACGAAGCAAGGGACACCTTCTCAGGGTGACACAGCCAAGGCAGGTGAGGCAGTGGAGAGGAAAACTGTATTAAGAGTGTTCCCAGCACAGTAGGTGCAATAGCCTAGTGGCTAAATCCTCATCTTGCATGCATTGTGATCCCGTAAGGGAGCCGGTTTGTATCCTGGCTGCTCCATTTCCCTTCCAGCTCCCTGCCTGTGGCCTGGGGAAGCAGTTCAGGATGGCCCAAAGCGTTAGAACCCTGAACCTGCATGGGAGACCTGGAAGAAGCTCCTGGCTTCAGATCAGCTCAGCTCCGGTTAGTCGCTGTGGCCTTATGGGCAGTGAACCAGCAGATGAAAGAGCTTTCTCTCTGTAAGTCTGCCTTTCCAACAAATAAATAAATCTTAAAAAAAAAAAAATAGAGTGCTCCCAGGGCAAGCACTGTGGTACAGCAAGTTGAGTCAACACCTGCAAACCTGGCATCCCATGTGCGTGCTCCACTTCCGATCCAGCTCCCTGTTAAGACACCTGGGCAGGCAGTAGAAGGTGGTGCAAGTGTTTGGGCCACTGTGACACATGTTGGAGACCAGGATGGAGTTCCTGGTCCCTGGCTGGCCCTTCCTGGGCTGGGCCATTTATGGGGTAAGCCAGTGGATGAAAGATCTCAGTGTCACACCAGCTGCCTTTCAAATAAATAAAATACATGTACACACACACATTTCATATATATATATATTTTTATATATAGTTATATATATATATACAGATATATATATATACAGAGAGAGAGAGAGGCTCCTAGACTGAGCCCTGGTTGCACCATGTCTGAGACACAAGGACACAGAAAGAAGTGTCACATAGGGCAGAGATGATCCTGGCCAGTGTAGGTCTGCCTCTTCCTACATAGCCCCTTTTCTTCAGGCCCGCCCACAAGGGAAATGGGACCCTAGCAAAAACAAGCAAACAAAACAAAGAAAAACTGATTCAGATTGCAAGATTTCTTTCTGTGAGAAATTCCAAACTCCATTTTAAGGAAGCAGGAAAGGACACTTAGGCTAGCCTTTGAGATACCAGCACTCCTTCTGGCTCCTCACCCCGTCCCCTTGTGTTGCAGTCCCTGGAAGGCAGCAGAGACGGCTTGCTGTACTGTGCTACCCAAGCTGGCTCCTGAAGTCGGAGTGAGCTAGCTCTCATTCTGTGTGCAACGCACATAGAAGTTCAGAGAGCCAATGAACCAGCCACGTGCTTCAGGGATATGCTATTTTGGGAATCTGGGGAGTGAACCAGGAGATGGGAACTCTCTCTGGCTCTCAAAATTCGATCAGCCAAGAAACCTCCAGTGAAAAAGAATTCTGCACAAGTTTCAGGGCAATCGGGATGCAGTCTCCAAGCATTCCTTCTAAGCCCACTGTCGCTATTCTCATTCAGAAGTGGAATGGAAAAGGAAGCATTCGCTGAGCCCATCCAGGGCAGCCCATTCACCTACAGCATGCGAGGTGGGGCTCCGAAGCTTGGGCCCACCCAGCACAGCCAGATAAACACACTTAGGCCAGACTCCTCTACTCTTTTGAAAAGCTGCAATTTTTCCTAGAGCTCAAAAATTGATTGATAGTCCTCCTTGAAAAACTGGAGGAGAAGCAAATTCAAAGGTTTTCTGTGGAACTGGTTGAAATGCGTGTGGACTAAAGCTGAAAAGCCATGGCTGCTACTCTGAGTGGGGCCAGCCAGGTGATACAAGAAAAGCTTGCATTTTCCTAGATCTCGTGGGGCTGAACCGCTGGTGAGGACTGTGGATCCCATGGAGTCCCAATGCTGCTTTTCCCCAGCTCTGGGTGTGTGCAGCTTCTACTTCTTTACTCTCAAGGGTTGGCTGCTTGTTCTACCTGGGGCTTGTTGTTGTCTTTAGGGGCCACAGGCAACAAATGCATTTTGAAAATCCAGCACATTGAAGTTTGTTTTAAAACAAAAACTGGTGGGTTGAATGGCAGGGTGGCTAGGAGGCGAAGTAGATGGAGGGAACAAGGGAGGGGCTGGGAAAAGATGGGGCAAGGAGGCACTCAAAAAAGGAGACACAAAAGGGCATTCGGGGAGAGCCAAAGCCACGTGGCAGTTATGCCCTCAAGAGAGGTGTAGAAAACCAGGTTGGCCTGTTTTGGGGAGTTGCTCACCCTTCACAGGGCCACGTTTCCCACAGATTCCCCTGCAAAGCCTGTACCTGCATGGTGGAAAACCCAGGGACTCCTGCCTTAATTTGATGTCCATGCACTTACATAATTTTGTACTTCTAAAGTCTTCAGACTGAAGTGGGTCACTATTAGGCAGGAGACAGCTAAGTCTTGCCTTCATCCTTTGTAAAGGCAACATGATTTCTAGTAGTTTCCATTTCCAGGGCTTGTTGGCAGAGGCCCAACAGGCTGCTCACTGAGCCATAATGGGTGGAATTGATCTTGATGGGGGAAAACAAGATTCTCTATTAGATAACAGCCAAGTTCAAGCCATGGCCTTTTCCTTAGGGAACGTGATTCATGAACCAGACACAAGATTTAAAGACTTAATACCTGGGAAGTCAATGGAAAAAGTGTGTGATCCAATTAACTTGTTTCCAGGGCTTTCTCCTATCAAGAAGGGGTTGTGCTGACTTCCGGCCACAGAAGTTTCTCTCATGTGCTGTTAGCTAAATTCTGGAATGCCAGCTAGGAAG